GCAGCCATAGCGCGGAGCGGGCAGCGGATAGCGCGGGTAGCGGGTGCCCGCAGGGGGGCCCCGCCGCCGGGGCTTGTCGGCGGGCGGGCAGCGGCGGCGGGCTGGAGCCGGCCGGAGCCCGGCGGAGAGGTGCAGTACTGCGCCGAGCTGGTGCGGTGAGTGCGGGGGGAGGCCTCAGGCGTGGATGTTCCGCTCCGAGCGGGGGGCTTGCAAGCGCTTCCTCTTGCGGGAAAGGAGCTGAGTTCCCTGGAACCTTTTCAGGAGTTTCTCCCTCCAGACGGGAGTTTCCCCCGGCTGCTCTCGGGCACGCGTGGTCGCGAAAATAACCCCTGCGGTTCCCAAGTGCGCGGTGGCCGCGGTGGGGCCTCCCCGGTGCCTCGCCCCCTCCGTGAGGGGAGCAGTAGGGAGTAGCCAAATGCTAAAGCAGCATGGATGATATAACCTGCAAACGGAGAACGCCTTCCCCCACCTGCTTTCACAGCTGCTCTTACGGAATAACGTTTCCATTTCATCGTCTCGGCTTTTTGGAGAGAAAGATCACCGAAGTGGGTGTTTAAAAATAATGGGTGTTTTCAGACCCTGGGTACTGGGCAGTAGCCGGGCTCCCAAAGTGCTCCTTGGAAAAGTGAGCCAAAGCAGAGGAAATCCTTCGGACAGCTGGACAGACAGTTCGTGTAGTTTCTCTGACCCGAATGCAGGACGGGGAGAAGTCTGTGTTGTCAAAAGCGTACATTTTTGGTCAAATCAGAAATGCTCCAAGAGAAGCCAGAGTGCAGCTCAGACGCTTCCAAGGCAGGCAGTGTTACCTGCTTGGCTTTTGGGCTATGAACAACATACAAGGCCCCTTAGCTGCTTTCTAATCCACAGGAGTTCAGAGGTACAAAGTAAACAATTAAGTCTATTTGTAAAGACTTGAGGAATTTCTCTTTAGATACAGTTGTTCTAGGTGGCTGACCAAAGCAGGCAGAAGGCCTCCAAGCACGGGACAGGATTATTTTCTCCAAGCTGATGCTTGTAAAAGATACAAAGATATGTGTGATCAGCAGTAGTGTTTGAAGTAGGAAAGTTAATGGAAGAAATGTGACAACCTCAAATTTTCCGTGCAGCACCAAGCAGCAGGTCTTTACCAGTGCATCAGAATGCATAGCCAGGTTGCATTTGCCATGATAAAACTTGAGATTACAGCTTTGTTTTCATTGCTACTCTATTCTGGATTTGTTTACCTGTTACTGGGGAGATCAGAAGCTGTGTGTACAGTTAATATACAGGTAAAGTTAGCATATACAGGTGAAATGTTTTCACAAACTATGAGCAGAATAGTTAGGTTCCAAGGCACAGGAGCTGAGAATGGTTGAATTTGAATGTTGTTATTGTTGTTATTTTTGTTAGATCAAAAAAGACTACTTATAAAATACACCTGCATTCAAAAATAATACTATGAAAGGTGGTTATGCTTTTGGCATCATTTAATTGAAGCTGCTGTTCGCAGTAGCTGATACATTGTGTGGGAATCAAGTTATTAAAAGTAAGAGGAAGGACTTAACCATTCAAGCAGAAATAAAACACTTGAGGCTATGCAAGCATCAGTAACTCACCAGTCCTGAATTTGTGTCTCCCACATGTGAGGAGGAACAACTGAGTTACAATTTAATGATGTAGATTTGAGCAACTTTTTTCAATATGCAAGGTGTCCTTTCTCTTTGGTTTTCCTTTTTCTGCTGAACAACGCTTTCAAACGTAGCTTTAAGCTAGTTGGTTAAAAACATGTTCCCCGGATAGGTAAGTTTTCTGTCTCTTGCTGTTTATGACGTCTGCTCCAGAAGACAAGCTTGTGGCGTGATGGTACCATGGAGTTTGTAACATGGAAGAAACCAATTACAGTGGAAGTCCAGTAATGGTCTTAGCCAACTTTTCTTCAATCTGTAGGTTTGTGTGTAAACTTGTGCTTACTTGAGGGGGAAACTAAAAAATACTCGGTACCAGAATTAAGGCCATTCAGTCCTTTCTTCATTTCTTACACAAAGAGATTTGGCGTGAACATGATCTGTGGTCATACCAATTCTATTTTACAGGCTGAGGCTTAATGGATTTGGTTTTCTGCTGTTATGTCCAGGAGTGCAGTGTCAGCATTAAATTAATTTTTCTTTTTGCCTTTTTTTTCTTAAGATTTTTTTGGCTACATTTGATTTTTAAGCTTAGAGTGATTGAAAACCAAAACAACAAACCAACATGCCAACACCATTACTAGAAGGAAGACAAATTTCTCTATTGTTCTGCTGTATTCTTTCTGTAATGTGTTCCTTTGTTTCCTTTCTGGAAGTAGAGGTGTTTTTGTGTTTGAACAACGCAGACAAAGTATATAACTGGGACTTGGAAAATGTGGCAGTAAATGTTGCAGCTCTGCCCAGGGTGGGCAATACTGGGCATTACCACAGTCAGCCCCGAAAAAAACACTAGGTTTGAGTTGGTAACGCTTTTCAGAAAGTGTCTTCAGGGAGGTTCGATGCATCTGTTCTTTAATGAAGGTGACCTTTACAGCTTGCTAAAATTCACAAATGTTATGGTTTTGTTGATGCTTCTGTATTTGCATCAAGCTCTAAAAGAAGTTTCACAACTGTTGTGAAAACTCTAACGCATTTGCTGGTTGTCAGCTGCTGCATATTGTAGGGGTAAGAACTTAGTTAAATCTCAGCAGCTTTTTGTTTGATGCTAAAAGTAGCAACCCTCATAACCTGTGATTTTAGTTTGGCCTTGCTATTTTAAACTCACATTCAAAAGAAATATGAGTACATGCAAGAACAGCAGACTTCATGAAAACAAGTAAATGTCTTTTACTTGGCACCTGCTTCTGACTCTCGAAACTTGGGGGAGTTGCTGGTCTTGTTCTAATGATGAATCAGGTTACAGGCTTATCAGAGTACACCAAAATGTTGTTCAAAACAAGCAGTTCAGCTTTCCAGAGGTGACCAAGTGTCTTTGTTAGCTGTGGTTATGATGATTTCACAATTTATGAGTCGTGCACTGTGATTGTTTTTAATTTAACAGCACACCCAAGTGGCCAAGCAAAGGCATATCACTCTCTACTGGCAACAATTTACCTGTGGTGAATCTGGCAAGACCTAGATTTCTTACGCTTCAAATATAGTTACCAATATACAAAACCTTACTGGTTAAGCAAATGCTCTTCTGCCAAGCTCCAAAGCACAGTCTTAAAGAAATGTGTTTTCATGCTTGGAACAGAAGTCTGGGAGTTGGACAATCTGGATTCGATTTGCAGATATGCCACAGCCTCGTTCCATGCCTTTAGCCAAATAGCTTGAGATCTGGTTTTGAGAGGTACACTGGGGAGTTCAGGCAGCACCCCCTCACTCTTGGAGTTTGTCTTATTTTAAAATAAGCTTTCAAGCTGCCGCTTTCGCAAAGTCAGAGTTTGTAACTTTTTTGCTACTGTTTTAGGAGTTCAGTGCCAAGCCACAACACACCCGATTTACATAGAGCTATAAATAATACATGTATTTTTTCATCCTTTCACAGAAAGCGTGACTATGAAGGGTTTCTGTGTTCTCTGCTGTTGCCTGCGGAATCTCGAACCTCTGCTTTTGCCTTGAGAGCCTTCAATGTGGAACTGGCCCAGGCAGGTATTAAAATACATTTGTGAACTCTGGAAGTGTAAAATAACAGTTTCAATAGTGCAATACAAACCTCTAATTTTGAATGGCCCGTGGAAATTAGCCAGTCTCCCACCGTTTATTTTGCATATGTACATGGTTTTGCTGACTTTTCATTGTGCATTTTAAAATCGAATGATAACAAACAGGCTGTGGTCCTTGATGCTGTTACATAATTGCATCTATGTCCTGGCTTCAAGTGCAGCGACTGAATCAGTTAAGTGCAGCTAAATCCTATCTGTTGAAGGTCTGTAAAAAAAGTTGGATGATATAATCAGCTGGCAAAAGCCTTGGCAAAAGCCAGGTGATGCAAAGGCTGTGGGGAGGGATGTTTGTCATTAGGGAGTTGTGGGAGGGAAGTGGCTGCAGTCTTTCCCCTTTGCTAGGTGGCCAGAAACTGCCAGGGCAACCAGGAAAGTTGGTAATGCTTGCCAGAAGGGAGTGGTCCAAGAAATGTGCTGAACAAACAAAACCCCTGAAAAACTTCTGCAGGCTGTGCTGGCAACCAATTGCACTGCCCGCCCTCACTGCTTTTATCACTGCTGCTTTTCCTTCTGGGAAAACAGGTAAGGTGAGGGTCACACAGGGCTTAATCTCCATGGGTTTCAAAGTCAGGCGGAATGAAGACTTTTTTTGTGTGCTTTATGAGGAAAACATAGGCCCACAAGCATCATCAAAGGTCTGGAGCATCTCTCTTATAACAAGAGATTGCAGGAGCTGGGCCTGTTTAGAGAAGACTGAGAGGGGGATCTCATTAATGCATGTAAATATCTCAAAGGTGAGTGCCAGTAAGATGGTGCCAGACTCCTCTCAGTGGTGCCCAGTGACAGGATGAGGAGAAACGGCTGTAAACTAAAACACAAAAGGCTTTGCCTCAACATGAGGAAGAACATCTCTGCGTTGAGGGTGGCAGAGCACTGAAACAGGCTACCCAGGGAGGTTGTGGAGCCTCCCTCTCTGGAGGCATTCAGAACCTTCCTGGAAGCATTCCTGTGTAACCTGCTGTGGGTAACCCTGCCTTGGCAGGGTGATCTCCAGAAGTCCCTTCCAGCCCTAATGATTCTGTGATTCTGTGGATAACTGTGAATTCAGAACTGATCACTTTCCCTACTGAGTTTGGCTATGTCCTGTGTCTGTCTTTTTGTGTAGATAGACCAAGTGCCTTAAAGACACTGAATTTCACTCCAGATGTATCCTTTCCAGATCAAAGACTCCATAACTCAGAAGACTACAGGTCTGATGCGAATGCAGTTCTGGAGGGATGCTGTGGAAGGCATATACTGTGATAACCCGCCACATCAGCCGATTGCTACAGAACTGTGGAGGGTAAAATACACTTTTGTTGCCCTACAGTTCACTTAACTAAAATATTACTGTGGAAAATGATGACATCATTTTGTGTGTGCTGTGTTGTATAGTTAATAGCATTATTTTATCTAAAACAGATAGTGTAAATTATTCTTGTGTCTGTGTTTGATATTGTAAATTGCTGACAACCAAAGAGCAGAGTTGAAGGATATTTAGGACCTAGTTGGAGGGTCAGACTTCTGTGAACCATCTGCTTTTTTCTCTTCTGTTTAGGTGAAGGTCGGAGTAAATTGTGGTAGGCTGTAAACTGATACAAAGTGAGGTGCATAAGTATATTGTCCTGAGCCAGTGCTAGTCCTGCCTGAAGAGATTAAGCTGTACAAAAGACAGGAGGCTAAGCACAGAGGCTGCCTGAAGAGATTAAGCTGTACAAAAAGAAAGGAGGCTAAGCACAGAGGTTGAAGTAGCAAGTAGGGTATGAGGAAAAGCTCAAGACCTTCATACGCACTTACTGGGTAGTAGGGAGAATCTTAATACAGTCTTCTCCCATCAGGAGTTGTTTGATGGCTTCTATCTGTGTGTTATGTTTTGCACAGATCCTTTTGTATGCATTGTGTGGCAGAGAATGTACTTGTGAACTTAACAATACATTGAGTAACACGGAATGTACTTGTGAACTGAACAACAGTTTATTTTTACCAAGATGCCAGGGTTTTGCAGGCACTAGAAGAAGTTCATAAAGAGTACACTTGCAGATCTGTTCTTCTGCTGCTCATGATCAAAGAAAGAGAGGTTTTCTTCCAAAATTTTGTTTCTAGATAGTACTGTCATTGGTGAGTTTGATGGATGATTGAAGGTCTGACGGCAGTGTAAGTGGATTTTCCCTTGATGCAGATACAGAGCCACATAATAATGTAGTTGGTTGGGCTCTCGTCATCTAGTCAAACTTGCCACTCAAAGGTAACATCAAACTTAGATCAGGTTGTCAGGGTCATATTGATTTAAATTTTTAATTTCCTCATGGATGGAAATTCCATACATTGCTAACTTGTCATCTTAGGGCCCTGCAAGTCTTAGAACTCTTCAAAATGAGCAGGTACCATAAGGCCTCTATAAGACCAGAACTTGCATTTAGACTAAAGATCTGTGAGCTCCTGAACAGGAAAAGCTGCTCTTTGTCTAGATCTCAATAGCTGAATACAGTTAACATAAATCTTGTAGGTAGGTTTGTGGGCCTGCTGAAAAACAGGCAGTGAAATGCCTAGTCTTCACCCAAGTACTCATCTGCATTGTTTCTGTTAAAATCCTGTGAAAAGCAGGACACTTACTGTAATGCTGGATTAGAACAACACAGTTCCTGTGGAATTAGAACATTTCACATCCACTCTGCTGCACTTCTGAGACCACAAAAATGAGACCTTTTCAAGTCCTCTCTCAATGATTTTGGCAGTGCTGAAACTGTGGCCTCTCCCTGACTCTTCCGCCTTCAAATGTGAAATAAAGCATAAGTGAGCATTTGTTCCTGTCTGTCAACACACATGTTTAGATTAAGTTGGGATTTAAACAAGATACACTTTGTTTGACTAAAGAGAAAACATCAGTAAAGCCAAGAAGTAAAATAAAACACCCGTTACAGTAACTTTTAGGAGGACTAGACCTATTCATAGGTGTCTCCAGCTCATACAGTTAGAATGAAGACTCGCAAATGTTGTGAACATTTTTATGGGATTATGGGAGTTGAAGATGCACCTAGGGTGATACTTTAATGCAGGCTTTAAAATGCAGATTTGGTCATTGGCACGTCAACCTTTGTGTGTCTTTGCTTTTGATTTCCGTCTTTCTGTCTCTCTTCCAGCATATGGCAATCTTCCCAGGAAAAAGACTGTTTTCTCCCCAAATGCTTTTGTCTTTTTTCCAAGGAGGAACTTGCTTTACTGTAGCTTAATTTAGTTTTATTTCTGAAGATATCCTCTCATGTAGTTGTCTGATTGAGTGGGTTAGGTACAAGTTAGTTTTGGGTATGATTGTATATATTCTTTGGACCAGTTCTAATTTCAGGCTGCTTGGGTGTATATCCATGTGTGTGTGGGGTGTTTTAATGCCCAAACAGTCTCTGAGCAGAGGCCTTGCCATGGCCAACCTCCCTCCCAGTTTAATTGCTGAGCATGATGTCATATGGTGTGGAATATACCTTTAGTCATTCAGGATCAGCTGTCCCAATCACGTTGCCTCCCAGATCCTTGTGCACTCCCAGCCTGCTCACTGGTGGGGTGGTGTGAGCAGCCCAAAAGGCCTTGAAGCTGTGTAAGCTCTGCTCAGCAATAACAAAAACATCAGTGTGTTACCAACACCATTTTCAGCACAAATCCAGAGCATTGCCCCATGTAAGCTACTATGAAGAAATCTAGTTCTATCCCAGCCAAAACCAGTACAACGTTTAGATAGGAACCATGCATATATTGAGGTATCAGTTGCAGCCCTTTCCAACAGCTGACTGCCAGTCATACTCCTTTCTCACAAAACAGAAAGAATTGCCCTATCTCTGGTAAGATTTCACTTCACATATGATATCCCTAAAGGAAGACCAATATAAGACAATCCAAACAGAACTGGTTGTGAAAGGAGATACTGGAAAATAATTCAGAAAGTGTTTCTGCTCTGGTAGCTTTGAATGCTGCAGAGTGCTGGACTGAACTAACAATCCAACCTGAGCTGGTGACCTTTGCACTCAGGGTGTGATTTCATTTCTACGTTTCAGCAAACACCCAGGAATGACCGATTTGAAGAGTGGCTTTCCAAATGTTCCGGAATGTTATTGCAGTTCTTAGAAAGAAAGGTTTGGGAAGACACCTGAGCTCACAAATATTGCAGAGCTGTTAATAGAATTCAGCACGTCTTTTGCACAGCAGATTTTATGTGCACTGTTTTCATACTGTTGGGTTTGTGTGAGGATAATTTTGAATTTCCAGAATAAATAATGATTTATCACGTAAAATATGTTCCTGAAGTTTTGTATATATCAGAATACTCACATTCAGATTCCAAGAGTTTTATGCACTAGTAAAATGTATAAGTATTCTTTAATAGTATTTCTAGGATTATTAATAGTTCATCTTTCAATTACTTTAATATAAACTTATGTAACAGCTGTATGATACTTGTTCTTACTTATCTGTCCATTTTTATCATACGAAGAATGAGATCTAATTCTCCTTTTCTGTGGGAGAAGCCAATTTCCGAAACTTGAAAAATGAGGACCAGTGTATTTGAATGAAGGTGATTCAAAATAGATATAATGTACAAATCAGGCAATTTAGGAAAACTCAGTTTGGTGCTTTAAGTCTTGACCTGTGAGTGTTTCAAGGATTTAATTTACAATACTCAGGACGAACAAGTGAGAAGCACAACTGACATTTGTAGTGGTAACTTCAAATTTGCCTTTTCACATACCAAGTGCTTCCTCAAGCACCTTTTCTGGAATCAACAAGATCTGTTCTTGATGAACCTTGAAAAAATACTTACAAATATAACGGATGTAAAGAAGAAGTTGAAAGTGAGTTATAAAGGCTGAGATTGTGAGAAATCTGCTCCATAAGTTTTGTTTATAAATACTGTATGTGTGATTGCAGCCTTTCTGACAATGTGGTCTGCAAAATTCAGCCTGTGTAAGTAAGAGGATTGAAGGTGAATTGGATAGAATGAAGTGGTGCAGGAAGAAGGTCAATTACAAGATAAGAGCTAGAAGAAGAGTGTGGAAATATGAGATGCTGTGGGATATTTTTTTTTTTTATAAGCCCATAATACTGAATATTATATGACTTGATTGAGTGCTGTCTTTACAGTACATATTGGTATGTTGTACTGATGTTTTCTTGAAAATTTACAGGGGAAGTCTTTTTATTGCTCATCTCTCAAGGAACCTGTGTTTTCTTTGGAAAGTGAACGTAGTTATCTGCAAATATTTTGTGGGAACATATGACTCCATAAAAGAATAAATTACTTTAAAAAAATATTTTAAAACAGATGCTCTCACTGCACTGGCTTGATGCCCAACATTGCGTTTTTTGTGTGCAACAGCTTGTAACAAAGCCAGTTGAAAATTTTTGTATCTGAAGAAGATTCTAATTTTCCACTTTGTTCTAACTCGGTAAATACAATCCTGGTAAGAAGAAGCTTCTCTAAAATATATTTCAGCCTTAATTCAGAATGCAGTACAGCCATCACTTTGTGTACACTAATACGGATGTTTTATTGGTAATTTTCAGGCTGTCAAGAGGCATAACTTGACTAAAATGTGGTTTATGAAGATCATTGATGAAAGAGTAAGTATTTACCATTCAAAGTGTGATTCTGGTTTTAGCCATAGTAGGGGTTTTCCCCCTTATTTTTGTTTGCTTGTGTGTAAAAAGCTTAAGTAATTACTCTTTTCCAGACAGCAGTGTTTCTCTTTAAGAATGGCACTGCTGTATTTCCTTTTTGACACTCCCACTCATAATTTCTGTTTTTTTCTGGCCGAAATGGCTAATAGAATCCTTTGTTTATTTTTGCTTTAAAATAGATGTAGTTTTTTGTTGACGCGGGAGTCACGGACAATGCAGAGACGATCAATGTGATCAAGCGATTGCCAAATTTATTACAAAGCCTTAACTCCTTATATACTATTTCTTACATGCAGTTAAAGTGATTTGGCATATTATGATTGGATACATGTCTTGAAGACCCTTAGTGACTAACATATAATTGGTTAAGCACAGGTGTGAGAACTTGACCTCGAAAGCTTGCCAACAGTCCACAGTTCTTATTAACTCAGTGAATTCCAGCTTCTTCTTATCTTGCTTGCTTAAGCTTCTTTGGGGCTCTCATGGCCTGCTGTATCTTTCAGGATTATTCAGAGTTTATGTACTAATTATGCATTCTCCCATGAGAACACTGTCTCCACATCTCCCCCTTTTTGTTTTATATATGTTTTGGATGACCCTACTTGAGCAGGGGATTTGGGCTAGATTGTATCTCCAACATATGCCAGCTACAGGCTGCTGGGCCTGCCCCTTTTTTCTGCTGTATGGCTCTCTGGTAACAGGGGAGGCCATCCTTCACATCAGGGTCTGGCATGGCATGTGTCCCCACCGCTCCACGCCTGCTGGGTTGCAGCCAACAGCAGAGCTAAAGGTTCTTCTTGGTGGCAAACACAGAGGCCAACCCAGCCTTGCCCTTGACTGTGGTAGCAGGCATTTTGTCAGCCTCAGTCCTTGCACCTTGTTGTCAATGCACAGTTTCACCTGCTTCATCCAGTAACAAGTCGCTACTACAGCAAAGTGCACACAAATTTACATTGGCAGAGTAACTATTACAGGGTGCAGCAGCATGTTGAAGATGCTGATGGCAGCGAGGGACTAGCCGAAGAAATTTCTTACCAGTGGAATTCTCCCCCCCTCTTAATTTGTTCCATCACCTGCTTTATAACACTACCATTGTATTAAAATCTTTCTAGCTTTTGCCTTAGCATTTTCTAGCAGCTACTGCAAATTTCCATACTCTAACATCTCTTTTGTAAGTGAAAAATCTGTACAATACAAGATGTAGTTCCTCATTAGCAACTGGCTAGTAAATACAGGTGGTTTTATACACAAAATCACAGCCTCTAATAATAGCTACTTTACAAGCACACATATTCAGGATGTTACTTTTCAGTTGCCCCAAGTGATGTTTTGCAATCATTAGTTTTTCTCTTCCTCTATCTCATTCTGCTTGGGGTATTCACGGTCAGCTCCTGTAGCTGAGGCATCAGGTTTTTCCATTTGTCTGTCCAGCTCATGGCAAGGCTTGACAAACTTTGCAGGCAGTCGCCATGGACCTGTAGGCAGGAGGACACAAATATAGCCCCTCCTCCAGGTCATCAGTTCTTGAGAAGCAGACAGGTTAAACTGCACATTGTTAACAGTCGAGGAGTTTGCTGCATCATTGCCTCATTTTTTTTTGTTTTTTTTTCTGCCACCCTGGTGCTGCTTAGGTGACGGCTCATAAAGCTTGTGGGTGCACTACCCCTCTCGCTTTTTCAGTTAGCAGTTCTTATTTCAACCGATGTATCTGTTCCTCCAAGTCTTGGATTCACCCCCAGGTTACCTTAAACATACAAACATACTAAGCAAGGCTCCTACCATGCACCCACTGTGTTGCAGGTGCTCTTTAGGCTTTGTCTGTGGTGTCTCTACAAACTGCCTCAATACCTCAATAGATTGAGAGGTTGGGTTTTGTGGTGTTTTTTTTTTGTTGTTGTTGTTTGTTTTTGTTTTGTTGTTTTGTTTGTTTTTTTTCCCTTCACTCCTCGGCTCTGGCGTCCATCCTGGCCGTTCCGCCAGTGGAGCACTGGGAGCTGAATCGGAGGTCAGCATTTTTTTTTTTCCAGAGTCACTCACCCTGCTTTGCACAGCTACAAATGCCAGCCTGCTGGGCAGCAGCTACAGCTGCCTGCCTGCTTCAGCAGCAGCCATAAATACCTGCCGGCAACCGCACTTTTGCATTAACCCTTTCTTGCCCGAAATGTTAAACTGCTACCAGTTAAAAACTTTTACATGAACCCAACAACAAAAAATACACAGAACACTGTCTGCCCTCAACACACACACACATATGGGATCCCACAAGCACACTCCACACAAGTACAATATTTGAAACACAAAATCCAGACAATCATTACTCCCACTACACAGTCCCACGTACAGAACGTGGCACAAGGACCCTGTGGAGACTAACAGGAAACCAGCTCCGAGAAGCATCATTACAGTGCGAGGTGGCAGGCCCATCCTTAGCGGGTGTCCCTGCAGAGGCTCTGCCTCCCCCACATCGTATGAGGCTTGGGCTTTTACACTGACCAAAATGCACACTCATTCCGACACAGGTGGCCAGCAATATCTTTAAAGGTCTCCAGAGGTCGACAGAAACCTGGACATACTTATATTTACCAACTTCTAGTACATGAGTGTCACAGAGAAACTGTATTAAATGAGTTGTATAAGGGGTCCCAAGTCCACAGTCCATCACAGTATGCCCATTACCCCTGATAAGAGAATAAGAGAGACCTTCCCACCACCAGAAAATCACACAATACGTCTGTATCCCGTGCTGATCTCGCTTCCCTGTAGGTTTGGGGGAGGGGGGCGTGGGGTGGGTGGTGTTTTTTTGTTTGTTTGTTTGTTTTGTTTTTGTG